ACACACACACACGCACACACACGCACACACACACACGCACACACACACACACGCACACACACGCACACACACGCACACACACGCACACACACACACACTTTCCAGTTGGTGTTTAGAAATGTCTAAAGTGAGGGCTGGAGAGATGATGGCTCAGGAGTTAAGTGTTATTGTTCTGCCAGAAGACCAGAGTTCAGTTCCCAGCACTCATACCAGGTAGCTCACATCTACCTGTAGCTACAGCTCCAGGGGATCTGATGTCCTTTTCTGCCCTGCACAGGCATGCACACATGAGACATACATTCATATACACACTCTCTCTCACACACATTCACACATATAAATAAAAATAATGAAAGTAAATCTTTAGAAATGTCTAAAAGGCCATTGTGCCTGTCCCAATGAGTAGGGATGTCATCATCATCCCTTGAGAACTGGGGACACTAAGCTCCTGTACTCTGGGAGGTTGGTGTAGAACATTCCCTGCCAGAACCATATGACAGATACCCCTACGAGAAACCAAGACTCTCTTGAGGGTCTTTATTAGGGGTATAGTGTTAGAATGGTGAGCAGACACTCCCTCCCATACTACAGCAGGAGCAGCTGAACTGTTGGCGTGGAGCAGAGAGATCCTTGCCTAATCCTTTGTGACCCCTGAGGGTTATTTAAAAGCTGAAGAGTATTTTCATCTGTGAGTCAGACTGACTATAACCTGTATTAGTTACTTCTTTGACTACTGTGATGGTATATTTGACAAGAATCAACTTCACGAATGAAAGGTTTGTTTTTGCCTTCAGTTAAGAGGCTGTGGTCTATCATGACAAAGGAGCCATCATGGCAGATGTGTGAAGCAGTTGGCCATATTACCTCCATGATCAGGAAGCAGAGAGACCAGGAAGTAGTGCTGGATATGAAACCTCAAGCCCCTCCCTTAGAGACTCACTTCTTCCAGCTAGATCACACCTCAAGACCCACATTAGCTGGGAACCATGTGTTCAAACACATGACGTAGGGAGCCATTTCATATTCAAACCCCAATGCGGGATTTCCTCATGGGGCTGTTTCTAGTTTACATGAGTTGAGCATCACACTGTTTCACATTCTTCTGGATACTTTCAGATATCATAATCTTCATTGCTGCCCAGGGCAGAGGCCATCTTCAAGTGCTCTGGTGGGCATGTCTGACTCTGAAGTGGACAGAACTGATTTCCTGCAGTGGACAGCCCTGCCCAGAGTCTTGATCCACATCAGCTGCTTTCAGATGGTTGTTCAAAGATAAGATCATAACCAAAAGCCAAAGATATAATTCCACTTTTATTTTCACTGTTTTTTGTTTGTTTATTTGTTTGTTTTTTTGACATTCTGAACAGAAAATATACTGAAGAAGAAATCCATGCCAGGTTAAAGAGAAGTAGCCGTCAACATAATTAAGTGAACCCATTTAAATACAAAACACTACTTGTTTTAGAGATAGAACTCTGAGACAATCAAAAGGTCCATCTTAGCATTGCATTGAAACATTATTCTCTGGAAATTACAGTGATCCATGTGTCTAGTTAGATGCTATCTTTACAGGGTCCAAGACCATGGCTATTATAAATTGACTGTGTACTGTAGCCACAGGCTGTTCTACCCAGCTTACTACTGGACACAGAGCTGATATCAAACTGTCACCATCTGAGTTCAGTAATTAATCATAACAATAATGATATGGCAGCCAAAGAGAAGGAGTGCTCATAGGGTGCAAAGTGGTCTTCACATTACCATCTGTGATGCATTCCGGCCAATGATGTGAAATCAGAAGTAGTTAGGACTGCTGTTGTCATGTTAGACTACAGGAAACTCAAGGGACAAAGAAACAAGCCAGATGACATCTGAAACAAAGAGACTGAGAAATGAAAAGGTGGGACATGCTCGATGATAGCAGAGTTAATCCTCCCAAGAAACGAGACTGAAACGGACTTAGGAGGCACAGCAACACAACCCTGCACCAGGTCCTAATTTAGAAAAGCTAACTACAGAGCTAAAGTACTTCTGAGGCCAGAAAACCGCAATTAAAATTAAAAATTATTTTGTTAAATATGGCAATATTGTTTAGGAAATGTCCTCATGTAAGAAATAATAAGAGAGCAGAAGAGGAAGAGCTGGTCCTGCCCCTCACCAGCTGCAGCACTTGGGAGAGCAGGCCCTGCACCTCACCTGCCGGGTGCCCAGTAGAGCTGACCCTGTTGACTGGGCTAAGAGTGAGCCAGCCATGAGAATGTGAGCAGGGGAGACCTGGCCCTGCCCCTCATCTGCCATACAGTGGTTTGGGCAAGATAGAGAGAGATGTCCTCCCTCCCCCACCACCACCTCTCACTGCCTGTGGTAGGTGGAAGAGCTATCCCTGACGTCATGAGAGCAGGAGAGCTGTCCCTGCCCCTCACCAGCACTTGGGAGAGTGGCCCCTGAACCTCACCTGGGCAACACAGTAGAGCTGGCCCTGGTGGTGAAGGTGTGGGTGAGCCAACCTGGTAGTGAAGGCAGGAAAGCAGGAGAACAAGTCCCACCCCTTGCTCCTTGCTGCATAGGGTGAACTAGCCAGGGCAATGCTGGAGAGCTCACCCTGGTGGTGAGGATGGGGGACAACTGGTAGGCTGACCTACCCTGCAACCACCCAGACCTAGAACCAGGCCGATGAGTTGGCCCAACCCATCTATGATCTGCTGGAGCATGTGAAGAGGCTGGTCCTGCAGATCCAAAGCTACAAGATCTCCACGACACAGGACAACAACAATAACAAGAGGAGTCTCAGTGAGGGCTCAGTATTGATAGTGTAGCAGAAAACAGAGGCCTCGAACCAGACCAATGACTCTTTGCAATGAACACTTGCAACTAAAGATATATGGACAAAAGGATATACTGGGTGGCTCACTGTGTTACACTACAGCTTCCACAATAAGATTTCTCTCCCTTTCTCTCTCTTTTTTTGTTTTCTCTTATTTATTTTATTTTATTTTATTTTATTTTATTTTATTTTATTTTATTTTATTTGGGGGAAGAGGCATTACAAGGGCAGAGAGTAGATACAAAGGGTCAAGAAGATGAATGGGATTGAGAGACATGATGTGAGATCCACAAAGAAGAAATTAAAAACTTACAAAAAAGAGAATGAATAATTCTCTCAAGGTACACATTGAAGACAATGCACTGAAATAGTAATGTGGGGACAGGCTACACAAGGGTACGCCATGTGGATAATCCCACCAAACACTTCTAGTGTCCAGAAGGTGCCATGGAAGCTTCCAAAGCAAGGAAGCAGCCAACAGTCCTGCCCAACTATGACACCAATGAACCACATCAATGACCAACAAGTCATGATAACACGACAGGTGCAGTCGTGGCACGCACACCTTGATAGTAACCAACAGCTCTCTAGTTGGACTTAAGACCCACTCAACAAGCCAGGCGGTGGTGGCGCACACAACTTTAATGCAGTACTTGAGAAGCAGAGGCAGGCAGATAGATCTCTGTGAGTTCAAGGCCAGCCTGGTCTACAGAGTGAGTTCCAGGACAGCCAGAGCTACACAGAGAAACCCTGTCTTGAAAAATTAAAAAAAAAAAAAATCACACGACAAAAGGAAAATAATGCCTGGGGCTAAAACCCTAGCTAACTAGTCAGTGCTAGTGAAGTCATGGTTATTAGAGGAGAATCCACAACCACTAATTCACTAAGCTAGCATAATCCCTAACAACAATCCAAAACCATTTGTCTTTCTACCCACAGATAAGTGTAGTCTTCACCCTCATTAAGGAAACTTTTTGCAACAGATGGAAAATACTACAGAAAACCACAACCAATCAAAATGCAGAATTGTGGAGCACAGTCCCAACTGATACACCTACAAAACACTCCCACACCTATGACTCAGGGAACATGGCCAAAGAGGGGGCAGAAGGATTGTAAGAGCCGGAAGATCGGGGAGTTTTCTGTGTCTCTTTGTAATATCAGAAGCTACATCCATAAAGTCTCACCAATATGACTGCCAAAATGTGAGCTGAACAAAGATAAGACCAAGGAACATGCCAGACTGGGTAGGAGAAAGCCTCAACCCCACACAAAGAACCATACATAGATAAATGAAGATCGGGTAGGAATGGGAGAAATGGTCTTCCTCAGGGAAGAGCACACCCATTGATTGTCTAGTGCCAAACGGTCAGTCCTGAAAACATACATGGCAGGTAGCATTATACAGACTGAACAAGTTACATTTAGGAACATATATGCATATTAAAAATACATATATGCATGCAATAACAATTAGTAAAAAAAGAGGCCATAAATTTGAAAGAGTGGGGAGAGGAATACAGGAGGGTTCAGAGGAAAGAAAGGGAAGGGAGAAATGTTATAATTAAATTACGACCTTAAAACAAAAACCTTCTGTGATCTGATCTGATTAGTGAAAATACATTGACTAAGCCTGATGTGCACACTCAGCCCTATGAGACACGTTGGGGATATAAGGGAGGTAACACTGGCACAGGTAAGGAATTCACCCTCACCAAACAGAACAAACAAAAACAATCCCGTTCTAAACCACACAGTGAAAATCAAAACACCAGAGACTGGGAGGTCTCTGGGGCTGTGTTCTGTGAAGACCCCTCAGGAGGTGTGGGATGGGAGCAGAGAGCCAAAGGATGAGATCAACGGAAGAAGCTGTCTGCCTGTTCAGGTCTTGCAACACCCACTGATTCGGATCAGCTGTCAAATTTTGCCCACAGATTTTTCTTCCTGTACAAGTAGAATTGATTTTTTTAAACTTTCCTTTATATTTATTTGTGTGTGCGTGTGCGTGTGCATGTGTGTGTGTGTCCGGTGCAAAAGCATATGCTTGTGTGTGCACACATACACTAAGGCATTTGCAGAGGTGGCATTAAAAAACACCTTAATGGAAGTCAGTTCTCTCCTTCCACCATGGGCATTAAACTCAGATCCTCGGGCTTGGGAGACACAGCCCTTATGAGCTGAACCCTCTCTCCAAGCCTAAAATTTCCCTGCTTTAACATTATCTTTTGGAGTACTCTCCCAGGATCATTACAATATGCAAATATTTATCCTTTTCTATATGAACTATTAATATCATCTTCCACTTTAGCCGCTAGTAAAAATAAGCCACCTGCGCACACTGAGGTTCAGCCTTCTCTGTATTTGATTTTGTCAGAAAAGGTTTGCTGCGGAAAACGACTCATGCTGGTATTTTTCAAAATGTAAAACTAGATTCAGATCTAAACACTTTTTCTGATGTTAATGGGGCTGTTTTCCTAGCATATCAGCAGGTAAAACATGATGAGTCAAAGTCAAGGTGACGGGAGGGGGGATAATAACTATTTGTCCTTTTATCCACATTATCATTCAGGAAGTCCTAGCTAAGCCTTGATTTTCTGTCCTGAGGTAGCCACAAAGCAGATTACAGCCTCTCTGAGGATCAAAGCTGCTGTGAGGAGCCCTGTGGTTCAACACTGAGGAAGCTCCAGAGCAAGTGTCCATGACATAGAGTGTAGGACTGAGAAGAACTTCAAAGGTCACGCATCCTCACCTCTTGCTGCTGACCCACACGCTGAAGTCCTCTAGGGCACACAGCTAGTTTAAGGCTCAGTGCTCACACTGCTGGCTAGCCACAAAGCTAGGACCAACAAGCCTTGTTCCCTAGATTTTATTTCACTGTGTTGACTCATTTCTTTACAAATCCATCTCATATACTGGATGGAACCAGATCCAAGCACACTATTGGCAGCAGGTGTAGGGAAGGGGTAGGGAGGGGGCAGTGTAGGCTATGCAACAGGTTCTGAAGAGGCTGAGGCAAACATTCTCCTTCAACTGGCTATGGCTAAGCTCCCTAAACTCCAGACCTGGGTTTAAACCATCCCTTCCACACACACACTTAAAGACCATCTGAAGAGTCTAAGAAAGACAAGCCAGAGAAGTGTGACCAAGAACTGAATTACCATAAGCAGGGAGGGGTTGGTGCAGGCTGTAGAGCCAGAGGTGGAAGTCTGATACTGGCAGCCTGAGAGCCAAGACGTCCCCTGTACCACTTCTGGTGTGTGATGTGAACAAGAGGCTATAAACAAGGACTTCCGCCCGACCTTACTCACACATACCAACTCAAACGGCCAGAAGGGGACCAGCTGCAGAGATGGGACTGATGTAGCCAGAGTCCCCCAAAGACCGCTGAGACCAAATCCGATGCAAAAGCAGAGAGTCTTTGTGTTGTTATGAGTTAACTCGGGACTCTCTATTCATCTGACGCAGCAGCCAGCAGAGCAGGAGAGACCCCAAGTAGCAAGGGGACAGAGTATTTATAGGGAGTAAAGCAACATTGGTGAAGCAAGGTGGGGTTGGGGGTCTTCAGACTATGTAGGAGCAGACTCAGGATTGATGCACCTCCCATCTGGAGGTGCTGTCCTTGGTTAATTTGCAGCTACAAGAAAACTATTATCTCTTTTGGTGGTTGTTATGACTAATACATTTTTTCTTTATCATAACCCCACTTGCTTTAACTTTTAATTGGCTTCTTTTACTTTATGAGGATACCTGTTAGGGTTTTCCTATAACTAGAGCTAGGCTCAAGGTTGGGGACTCAAGGGCACCTCACACTGTGCCAAGGGCCTACATTCTGTTGGGTGTTTTCCACAGGCTGTCATGGCTGCAGAATAGTCAAAGTATGGGTCCCTGCAGGGGCCTGGGTTCCTCAGTGACCAAGAGCTGGAGCCACACCAGAGTATACAGGCAGCACAAACTGGAATCAAAGGGATATTTAAATAAATACATACATACATACATACATACATACATACATACATACATACATTAGAGCATGGAGTTGGAGGATAGAGTTAGGGAGTAGATCAGGGAGAAATTGGGGGGTAGGAATATCGGAGATAAGTAGGATCAAAATATGTTGTGTAAATTTTTCAAAGAATTAAGAAAATACTGTATTTTGAAAAAGAATGTAAAAGCATAAGAAAAGAGTCAATCAGTTAATAAACACGGAGAGCAGGTCCAGCAATGACAAGGTCCCTACCAGAAATGTCAAGAGGAAAAGAGAGAAAATGGAGAAAGACAGTAAAAGAAACTGAAGAAGATCTGCATAGTTTGAAGACATTAGTCACTGAAGGCAGAGAGGAGGAGATGGGAGGAAAGGGGAAAGGAAGGAGGGGGAAGAGAAGGACAGAGAGATGGACAGAGATGGATGGACATCATTGCTTAGACATGCTGTGACATATCCAGGTCTAAAGATAAAAAGACAAGCTTGAGAGGATTAGGAAAGAAAAAAGCATGGACTAATACAAATAAGAAGACTGAACTCTTACTGTGTGTTGCAATGACAATAATCTAAAAATAAAACCTGAGATTGGGGTTTTCAAATATCAGGAACAAACTGCTTAGAAGAACCATGTCTAAAATAAGCAGAGCAGACAGGCTTTCATCACTGCGGAGAACAGACTCTTTTAACAAAACATGGGAGGGATTCTTAGCAGCAGCAAAGTCAATCTGATCGATGCTCCCCCTCAGTCCTAGAGGAGCCATGGGGTGCGGTAAGGAAAGGAATGAGACACGGGTGGCAGGGAGGGGGGGGGATGTGAAGGCAGAAGACTCAGTGGAAACCAATTCTATCTGTGGTGGTTTGAATAGGAATGACCCCCATAGGCTCCTATATGTCAATGCTTAATCATCAGGTAGTAGCACTACTTAAGAGGGATTAGGAGGTGTGGCCTTGCTGAAGTAGGTGTGGCCTTGTTGGAGAAAGTATGTCATTGAGGGTGGGTTTGGGGGTTTCAAAAGCCCAAGTCTCAGTGTCTCTCTCTTGCTGTTGAATGCCATATTGGTGGGACATTCATTGACAAGTGGCATCTTGGACCATTGTACTTACAGTGTTCTAAGCCAAGAAGTGTACCTATATAAATCCTGAAATTGTTGTCAAAATGTGTTCACCCACACTGGTAGAGAAGTAAGTACCACACACCAGTATGCAGCTCAGGCCAACCACCAAGTCTGGGAAGATACCAGGAGTACCAGGATGGGCAAAATGCAGGCATTTGGGGATGAGCAGATGGAAGAGTCCAGGGGATAAGCAGATGCAGGAGTTCAGGGGATAGAGATGTGCAGGAGTGTGGGAATGAATAGATGCAGGAGTTTGGGGCCTCATGAATGTAACTTGGAGTCCCTCTTGAATTGTCCAAATCCACTTCCAATGGCAGCAACCCATCACATTAGATCAAAGCGACATTTTCTCGGAGTCCTTCCATCACAGGAAGCTCAGGTGACAGGATGAGGACACTAGAGCTAGTGCATACATCTGCGTTCTGTGAACATGCCAGCCACTGTGAGTCCTAAGGTGAGACTTATCTCTGCGTGTCTTCTAAGTGGATCTGGAGAGTCGTTCCTAATGGAAACGGTGCAGCCACATCTTCAAGGCTGGAATAAAAATCAGAATGGAGCCCAAAACTGAAACCGTCAGAAAGAGCCACAGGAAGATCCGGTCAAGAACTTGAGCCACAAATTTCCAGTCTTGCACTACCTGCAAAAGAGAAAAAGGGCACCTGTCATTCCAGAAGCTGAGCAGCTCTTCTGACCTCATTAAGGGATGTAAAAAGAGCAATATTGGATTTATGACACATTTTTAAGCTTTCAAAATGTATATACACATCACTAATGGCATGGACTTAGATTCTAACCAAGGATGTTATTCATCACACCCCAAGAAAATAACTTGCAAGTTGAGTGTTTAGGAACAGTTATCAACGGTGAAGATGTAAAACAAAAACTATAGAATTATTTGTATACTTGGAAATATTGCTAATCAAACACACACACACAAAAAAAAAAAAAACACCTGATTTTATACAATGCTTCCTGATATGCCTATCACAGATGGATATCTTTAGAACACTTTTAGGTAAATATCACAGGATTTTCCTCCTACTCCATATATGGCCATGGCTCCTCTAGCTCCAGCACTGAGGAACAGAGAAATGACAGGTGGGACATTATAAGAAAGGGATCTATGGAGACTTTAGTTAGGCTGGGATGTTATGGGAGAATAGGCACCAGATGTGGAGCAGCAGGTCCAGGAAGGAATAAGCCATAGGCTAGGGGAATCTACAAGAGAAGCATGGGATCTCACCTTTAAAGGGACTCAGAGCCCAGTTTCTATACATGGTCTCAAGCTTATAGCAGTTCCCCAGGAAGCTTCAGAGTATGATCACAAGAAAGAAAACACATTCAGTGGAAACCACTTCAGATCTTGAAAGAGGAGGGAGGAGAGGGAAGTGGATGGAGGGAGGAGAGAACCTTCTGTATTCTAGGGACACACAGTACCATCTCCCCAGGAATCCTGAAGCAGTACTGAGTATCATGATACATTGTCAAGGGAAACCAGGACACTGTACAGTGAATTGCTAACCAGTTGAGTACTGTGATCAACGTTTTCAGTTGCAGTACCTGTAGACAAGGATTTGGTAAAGACAGAATAGAGCAGGAGGCCCACCCACTGGCAGAAGGGGGACAACAGGCTGCCCTGAGCTTTCCAAGTTTAGAACAAAACTATAGCATAAAACACACAAGCAAGAGTATAAAATGCTAAAATGTTAACCTTAGGTAGTGGGATTACTAGTGATTGTGATCCTCTTGTTTAAGTTTTCCAAATTATCTGTGCTGGTCATACTTTTTAAAACCCACTTAAATATTTATATAAGTATTTACAAAAGATATAAAGAGTAAAACAGAAACTCCTTCCCTAGTCACTGAAGCATACCTGTAAGAGGTGGTATTTTTCTAGTCTTTTGTTTTTAAATCAAAATCTTTAATTGTACAAAAATATGATAAAGAGTTAAGAGAGAAGATAAATCACACTGAACCTATGAAGATAAAATATAAAGTGTGCTTCCAAAAACACTTTCATAAACCTGTTCGTGAGCCTTGATCTAATTTTCAAGAATTTTAGAGAAAAATGTCCCAAACCCTGAGTAGATGGTGCAGAAATAAAGGCTATTTTCAGCCTATGTACTGACAGATTTTTGTCATTTTTTTCCTTGTCATGTTCTTCAAGGTAGGTTCAAAAAAACATTAAGTTCTGACAATGTAATATGTCACACAGGAGAGGGGTGGGTCTGTGGCCAGGATGGTGATGCATCTGCAACCTAGGTATTTCTGTTTCCGAGACACGATCTCACTATGTGAATGAATCATGTCGATCTCAAACTCTGCATCTTCAGCTTCCTGGGTAGCTGGGATCCCAGAAGGGAATCTCCTGTTCTTGTTTTTCTGTAGTGTGTACACTAAGTAACCAGTTCCCTTTCCCTTGATGAAGTATCTGTTGCAACTGAACTTGTATTACTTTTCAAATTTTGATTCTTTCTAGTCACTTCTAACACATTTCTAAACACTGGGTTTAAAAACATCATAGCACACCCTGGCGGTGGTGGTGCATGCCTTTAATCCCAGCACTGGGGAGGCAGAGCCAGGTGGATCTCTGTGAGTTCGAGGACAGCCTGGTCTGCAGAGTGAGTTCCAGGAAAGGTGCAAAGCTACACAGAGAAACCCTTCTTGAAAAAAAAGAAAAGAAAAACATCATCACACGAAACAGTGAAAATTACCACAGATCAGGGTAACCCCTTTAAAGGTGCAACTGAATTCTGTAAAATGCAGTTGAGGAATTATAGCACTGAATCTGCAGCCGCTTAGTCTTAGTCATGATACTTCCTTCTGTGAACTTTTTTTTCTAAAAACGTAATGCTAAAAGTTCCTATGGTTTGCTGGGCTTGTTTTATACGCTTTACAGAGGCTAGGTGATAACGCCATTGTGAACAAGGGCCACATTCTGTTGTAAGGGACACCAGCATGGCTTTCTTGCCCACTCCTCTGCGAACGGCACTGTCACATCACAGCAGACTCACCTGGCTGATGAAATGCTCCTTCTTCACGTGCCTTGAAATGTATCTGATGGACTCAGCGGCCCTTTCCAGGAAAGTGACCAGAACTCTTTCTCCATCACTAACAGCCGTCTGTTTCTTTTTCCCTGAGACTTTGCCTCTCACGGCTGCTTTCCTCTCCTCTCCATCGGGGAAGGAGAAGCGGTCCATGGGGTCCTTCATGCAAAGCCATCTCGGGAGTTTTTGCAGAAACAGTCTCTTCACCCAGGGGGCCATGGGATGGTAGGTTGAAGAAGATCTGTGGTGAACGTTAATGACGAAAACTGTGACAATAATGGACAGGGTAACAAAAATCATAATGAAGAGGAGGTACTCCCCGATGAGAGGGATGACTTTCGAAGAAGACGGGATTATTTCTTCAATTACTAAAAGAAACACCGTCAAAGAAACCAAAACCGAGGTTGAGAGTGAAAGCTTTTCCCCTTCATCAGAAGGTAAGTAGAACACCAGGACCGTGAGAAAAGACAGCCCCAGGCAGGGGATAATCAAAAAGAGCGTGTAAAACAACGGCAGGCGTCTCAGAACAAAAGAGTAGGTCACAAACGGGTAGGAATAAACACCTTCTCTTCTGCTGCCCTTCATCCCCTTTGCATTTAGTATCTCCCACTCTCCGTTATCAAAAAAGTCTTTCCGGTCAACATTTTCGTGGATCAGAATGAGGTCCACCATGTTCCCATCGTAAGTCCAGGATCCAAACTTCATGGAGCAGTTCTGCCTGTCGAATGGGAAGAACGTGACGTCCATGGTACAGGAGCTTTTGTAGCTGGCAGGGGGAGTCCAGCTGACGGTCCCACTGGATTTCACGATGGCCTTGGTCATGAGGGAACCTTCGAAACGTCCGTCAGCACTGCCATGAAAGTAGTTACGCTTTAGTGGCTGGCCAAACGCTCCCTGTCTGGAGGGTCTCCCCACCGGTCTACGTTGCATGCCTTTCCCACCACAACGGCAAACAATACAAAGAAATCACTTTGATACAGAAGGTTAATTATTCCACCCACATCAGACTGTTCTGTGTCCTGTGTTCATCTGACCAAAGCAGTACTCTGAGACACTTACTTTTCAAAGAGAACTATGTCAGGAAGCCAGAGCGATTCTGACGGAACCTTTATCGAATTAATTCCACCATATTCTTCGGGATTCCAGCGTAATTTTTGGTCTGTCCATTCCTGCATGAAATGAGTATGCAGCAACTTTATTCGGAAGATTCAGTACGTTAGAGCTTGGGCTCTTCAAATTTCTAAAATTTACCAGCCCACTATTTTGAGACAAAAGAGATTTTTCACCCAGGTTAGACCTTGGCATCCTGTCTGGGATTAGTGAGGCTTTCGGATCCAACATAAGCCAGCCTGGCCTCTGAACCTCCACCTGCCCATGTCTGAACCAGTAAAGAGGCTCATCACGAAGGGCACTGATTCATGACTTGTGTTTCTATCCTATTTTCTCTTAAGAAACAAACAGAAAAGTCACAGCTGTGTGGGAAGGGGCATGCCTCTCGTCCCAGTACTTGGAAAGCTAAGCAAAGAGGACCATGAGCTCAAAGCCAGCCTGATGTATACAGTAAGACCCTTTCTATAAAGTGATAGCTGATCTCATCCAATTTGTTCCAGGAGGATGAGATTTCAGTCCCTTGACAAAGGGGAACATATGGCTTTGGCCTGCTACTGTGAAATGTCCAGCACCTGTGATCATTCCTGATGGCATTGTCACTTTTAAACAGTAAGAATGGATGGAAGATGTCCCTTTTATGGTTTATTTAAAGCGGTTTTGTAAGCTCCTAATTAACATTTTAAATTATGTCCCTAGTATCCTGAGTCTCCATATGTTTATTTTTTTTCTTCAAGCATTAGAAGGGTATACCCAGTGTGAGGCTTCCTGGAGTCCAGTGATGCCATCTATGTCATTAAAAAATCAAGAATTGGCAGATGGGTGACTTAATCGGATGGCAAAATATTGAAATATGAATGATGCCTAAAAAGTGCAAATCACTTTCTAAATATTTATGTTTATACCCATACTCTGTGAGGCTCTCAACCTTGGTCCAAGAAACTTTTGTTCCTAGTAGATAGTGTTCGGTGCAGGGACCCATAACTCTTCAGACTGTTAAGCATGGGTGATTGCGAGTGCTCAGTGTTAGACAGGACATCTGTATCAACCTCCCCAAACCCTGCCACCCCACGGATGGCTCAGGGAACATCAAAGTGGGGAGAGAAAAAATGGAAGAGCCAGAGGTCAGGGTCAAACTATCTTTTGGACAGAACTCACATTCCTGTGCAGATGGGGGAGGGACACCCAGGCTACCACTTCACCTGAGTAGTTATTGACAGCTGATGGACGCTAAGGGGGAAAAAGAGAGTCTGTTTTCTTTAGGGGCATAATCCCTTGAGCCAGCGGATGGCCCCACACCCATGCCTGTACAGAGAGCAGTAATCAGACTCAGAGGGTTCTAGAAAATAAAAGGGCTATTAAAAAAAAAAAGGACATAAAACTGAGTGGGGGAGCTCCTGGAAGGGGTGAAGGGAGCAGAGAATGAATATAAATAAAAGACACTGTACACAAGTATGAAATTCTCAAAGAATAAACTTAAAATACATATTTTAATTACTTTTACTTTAGATTTATTGTAATAAGAGAGATGAATACTTGATTTGGTATTTTTTAAAAAAAACTGTTTACTCAAGCTGTCTTTTTGTATTATTTCCTGTTCCTGCTGGCAAAGCAGCTTACATGGATTGGTTTTGGGGCACAAAGGACACGTTGTCTAGTTATAGCTGGCATTTTCATCTATGTGTTGCTTAAATAAATACTGATTTATTATCTCAAAAACACAGTTCTAGAATGGATGGCGGAGGGGCTCCTGAGGTCCCACTCCTGACTGGGGAGCCATTGGCAGTTGACTGTAGCTGGAGGAAGGAGAAGAACTTTTCTTTGCAGTATGACCATGGTACATTGCTTATGCCCCAGTGGATGGCACATATGGGCTGTGATAATTGGATTCAATGAATATATATATATATATATATATATATATATATATATATATATGAAGTTAGAAGGGAGGCATGCTAAGGAGGCTAGGCAGAGTTGAACTGGGATGTGGGGAGCGAATATGATCAAGACCTAATGCATCTACATGGAATGTTCAAAGAATAAATCAAAATATTATTTTTTTAAAAAGAAAATAAACTCGAAGTTCCTGATAAATCACAGTAGCTCTTCAAATGTGGTTATCTCTCTACTTTAAAAAAGAAAAGGGAGAGAGAGTGAGAGACAAGAAGAAGAAAAAGAAGAGGAAGAGAAAGGAGAAGGAGGAGGAGAAGGAGAAGGAGGAGGAGGAGGAGGAGGAGGAGACGGAGACGGAGACGGAGACGGAGACGGAGACGGAGACGGAGACGGAGACGGAGACGGAGACGGAGACG